TAAAACGTAAAGCACAGATTCTACTACCCTTTTTTGGTTAGTCCCACCCGGGATTCGAACCCACACTGCAGAAGTGAGGCACCTAATCACCAGCACACAAAGTCAGCCTTCTAATCCACTCAGCCACCAAGGCAGGTGGACTAGAATCTGTACTTCACTAAGAAAGTGTTATCCCAAATATAACATTAGCTACATTTGACCACTTCCTAAATGGCATTGGTGTTCATATATTATAAAATATTTATGCCATTTTTTTCAAAGAACTATTTCCCTGGCTTAACATAAGTCTAAAATAATAAACCTTGTCTCATATAAATAAATCTCTCCTTAATAACATCTACTTTCAAATATTGTTCCATTACAAACAAATTCTATACATAAGTTGTTAGACTCATGAGTATGGTTGTATATTTCAGGGTACACCGGAATCGACTCCCAACTTTGTCATGACAAGAAAACACTTTAGCCTCAAGGCTACCCAAAATCCAAATTAATACCCAAAAAATATCAATAATGATTACCGTACATTTGTTTTGTGAATAAAAATACTAAAAATAACAAAATTATTTTAAAATACTCCCCTCATATAACATATAAAGATTACCACTTTGTTATTACTCTTACCTGTACAATTAAAGTGACACCTGCGATTACAACCCACCTGCCCTCACAACCCCAACACAGGGATGTCAATCGCAGGACTGGGTCCAGCTAAGAGTCACACCTGTATCAGGTATTTAATCTGAGTAAATACAAATATAACAATCCTGACACACTACCTCTCCGCTCAAATAATCTTCCAACATAATATTTGACACAGTCAACTGGACTTCTGACCCTTGGAAAACAAAAGCTTGGACAAAATATGTTCACAATTTCACAAGACTTGCCTTATCATCAGAGACCCATTCTCCTTGTTTCAAGGATATTAATTATTTTTGAAAACCAATGATTTGGCTTAAACTTGGCAAAATAACATTTAACATAATTTGTATTGTCAGAATTACCCAAGATTAATCGCTCTCTGTTTTAATCATTCTCATAGTGCAAACAGACACCAGCTTGTCCATGTTGTCAATGGCCTAGAAATAATAATAATAACATGTAACACTGCTCACAGTTACAGCACGGTTAGAAAAGACCTCCTTTTCCAACATTTCCTATGTTTAATTTAAAGCATATCATGACACAAATGTAGCCCTGGATGTCAGGTAAGCATGTCAACATGAAAATTAAATTCCATATTTGAAAAGAGAATACTTAGTGAAGGGATTTCAAAAACACAACAAAGCATCTCACCCTATTTTTGCAACCCTTCCCCAACTGGCTGTCGTTAGTCCATGGGTTGCGTCCCCAGCACAACTAAGTCCGTGGGGAAATATTTACAAAGACAATAGGCTTGTTGAACGAGGGATACGTCACTGACGTTGATTGATTGATTGAAGGTGACAAAAACTGGGAGACAAAAAGGCCTTCTCCCTCTAAACGTGTCACGGTGCCGATGCAACTCCCTCAAGTGGACTTAAGGTTCAATAATGAAGACTTAAAATTAACTTCGTCGCAATTCAGACAGAGTCCATCAATTCCATTTCAGTGGCATTGAAATAATCAAGGATTGATAGTGACAAGTAAATTGTTTTTTGCATGATTATTAAATCATGTCAGGTTAATTATCAAGGAAACTCTAAGTTTTTCGTTCACTCGTTTTTTTGGGAAGCAAAAGATTCAAGCATTAATTGCAAATATTTGACAAAATCAACATCAAACAGTTTCATGAAAATGGCGGCAGAGCGTGAGAGCTAGGTACTATCAACGCTGAGCCTCTTGTCCCATTGTTAAAGCTATAAGAGAGACATCCATATTGGCTAAAACTACAAATACAGAGACTGAAACTCAGGTTGTTGGTGTAACTAAAACATGCACACACCACTGGGCTAACATATTGTTTGGTAAAAAAATGTTTTCACGATTTCAAGTTTAACTGAAAATACATACACCTTGGATGAAGCCACTAGCCTGCTGGAGAGACAAATGATGAGATAGCTCTTAAAAAATATCCAACAGCTTATAAACTTCACAAGCATGCAGTCGGATATATGATTATGGACTGGTTGGATCTTGTTCATGGTGTCTATCACTGCATGTACATACTTTTTTGACCAAGTGCCAACCAAGTAACAACGATAAATTAACACATTTTGTTTGAATTACCATGACAACCAAACATGATTTAATAGTTAGTCTATGACGTTCAATTCCTTGCAATAATTACCCAAATTCCAGGTTCTTTTCCTGCATCCTCAAATTTTTTATTGAGTTTGCAATATACATTTCCCAGACCTCCCTAATGTAAGGCAGTGTGTCTGAAGTGTCTGGAAAATAGGCTGATGATGTCCTGATAATAAAGAATATATTCACCCCTATATTCTGCATGAACAGTGCCGTGAAACAGAAATGGCCTTCAGCCAATCACAGTGAGGGAGGGATCATCTCAAAAGAGTTCATGTCTAGTATTTAAGTTACTGTTGGCAAATACCAAATTTGGTGACTGATTTTTCTTAAAGCATGAAGCTTAAATATTTTTTTTAAAAGTGCAGATAAAGTTGCCCTCCAAATGAATTTCACTTGCATCATCATGATATTGTACGGGAAATTGAGCAATGAAAAACAGATAGCTCAATCACCAGGATAAATTTTTTTCAACTTGCGAAACACTCACTATTATTCATAGCTTTACTGACACAGGTGTATATCTTTGCCATAAATTGAATTTGATATGTATAAAAATGCTCATAATTTAAAAAAATAAATTAAAGTTATACAGAAATCAACAATGTTAAAGGTCTTTTACAAGGTATTGTTCCTAATTTATTTGATTTTGTTTTTTTGTTTAACGCTGCACTCAGCAATATTGCAGCTATATGACGGCGGTCTGGAAATAATCGAGTCTGGACCAGACAATCCAGTGATTGACATCATGAGCATTGATCCACGCACTTGGGATATGATGACATGCATCAACCAAGTCAGCAAGCCTGACCACCTGATCCCGCTAGTCAGCTCTAACGACAAGCATAGCCGCCTTACACGGCAAGCATGGGTTGCTGAACACCTCTTCTACCCCGGATCTTCACGGGTCTATTGTTCCTAATGAAGGCCTTTTCAAGTCAGTCCAGATGAACCAAAATATACATGTCCTTTGAGGGTACCGTATTTTCTTGAATATAGTGCACACCCATGTATAATGCGCACCCCCCTCTAATGGAATCAGTATTTTGGAGAAAAAAATTTGCTTATCAAGCACAGAAAAGAATTACACCGTACCCCTTCAGCGAAGTCCGGTAAACGAACGGGTGATGAGAAACTTCGTCAGTTCAAATTTGAAATTTGAGATAAAAAAATCACCAGACATGTTGATTTACTGTTTAAATTGTATTTTTGGTTCTGTTAGGCATTGGTTACCTTGTGTATTTTCTCATAAACTAAGCCGGAAACAGCAATCAGCTGTACACACGTTTTCTTGGAATCTACCGGTGATTTGGTCAAGACACACCCAATGATATAACTTTACAGGATTTTAATACAAGGATCGGCAAAAATTATATATATTCCAATATCTTGTTAATTTAGTTGCAGCTTTTACTAAACATATTTAAAATAATAATAACCCAAAGCGAAGCAGCTAATCGCTATTGACGGTTATTATTTTTCACATGGAACTAGTCTGACCAGTAACCGTCAAGGCACCCACGCACGTGATCACGTGATCTTGATAACTACGTGTTGACATAGAATCGTCAAACTATACCAAATATGACTTTTAACGAGTCAAAGTATGACATTTATGATACATGTATCCATTCTCTGTCAACTAAAGTTCGTTTCAAGGCATCAATAGCGGTAATCTGACCGTGGTTGCTGTTAATAACGGTGAGTTGTGCAATCCTCCGATCGCTTCGCACTCGATTTCGCCGAAATTAATTAAAACAATATTAAAATATTAAAAGGAATTTTGAATAAAATTAATGAAATAACTTACAAACATAAGTCCAGATATACAAAGAACACTTTTTATAGCCAGACAGTGTAATTACATGATTAATGTGCATACTTCAGTATGGATTTGTTGACATGGTATTTTCGGTGTTACGTGCTCACGGTAATGTCTTTCCATGGGGGGTAAAAAACATCAAAACTTTTGTGTATAATGCACACCCCATTCTACACAGCTGTGTATCATCGGAAAAAAAGTGTATTTCTTAACCCACTGGCCACATATCATGTAGTTTTGTAATGCAATTGTTAGTGACATCTTCAAGAAAAATGTCAACACAAACTAGACTTGGCTGTCTGGATTATATTAGAAGCCTCAAATCGACAGGTCAGAAATCATTTTACATCACATAGTAAATTATGGCATATATTGAAAGTCACTGAAATACATTCAGAAGTGAAACTTTAGAAAGCTCATGGCCAAACGCATCTACTGTAAACAACAAACATTCTTCTGAATTTATTGTCTAAAGAATGAAACTCAAGCCTGGCCACCCAATCTGATTAAGTCACCTCTTACAACAAAGAACAGAGTCTCGTCATTTCTGGAGTATCTATTAAACAACTCTCAAGAGTGAGTCTCATCATTTCTGGAGTATCTATTAAACAACTCTCAAGAGTGAGTCTCGTCATTTCTGGAGTATCTATTAAACAACTCTCAAGAGTGAGTGAGTGAGTGAGTGAGTGAGTGAGTGAGTGAGTGAGTGAGTGAGAGTGAGTGAGTGAGAGAGAGAATTTTGCTTGACACTGCTTCAAACAGTGTATCAGTAATGTCAAAGCATGTCAGCTTGATGTGGGAGGAAAGTCGAAAGTGATGCATGTCTTTGACATTTACCACCACTAGGGATCAAGGATTCAAGATTCAAATGGACAACCATTAACATTGTAAAACAAATATCTGTCATGGAGAGACCCAGAATCGAAAGTATTGAACATGTGCAACTCACCTGTATCTGCACTGGTGGTAGAGATGAGTGACACCGGTCTCTCCTTCTTCATGTGTCCGGCCCGAAGGTCAGCCTCCAGACGCACAGAATCCTCAAGGTCAAGCTGCTGACTCCTAGTCATAGACCCATCTGATATTCCAGAATCAATCATCGGTTTTTTATCTTTCTGCATCAGATCCAGAATCCCAGAATCTGTCAAAGATTTCCTGTTTTCCTGCTGGGTCAGGAGCATAACACCAGAATCTGTTAAAGATCTCCGATTGAATATAATCGGATCCATGATTCCCGAATCTGTCATGGACTTCTCATTGCCATCCAGAGCTTTTTCTAAATCCATAACCACACTTTTACTCATCCCTTCCAGAATATCCTCAACTCCTGTTTTCTCAATCTCCCTAACCTCATCCATTTCAGTTAGAGGCATCGAGATATCGGTGATTCCTTTCTCGACAAGAAAGGTGCGTTCACCAGCATCTTGTCTCTTAGAAGATTCCACAGTATCAATAAGATCACACTTCCCGAACTGAGAGCCTCCTGAAGAACCACCAGACCTTCCTACTTTGAAAGAGCTCCTGTCCTCTAGAGTAACATCAGCGCTGTTATCAGAACTGTCAACATTGAACGTAGCATTTGTGTTGACATTTCCCTCTCCCAGTTTAGGAAACAAATCCTTAATGCCAGAAAGATTCGTCTTATTCACCAGTCCCTCATCATCTTCATCATCTTGACAAAACTTACGTTTCCCAACTGGCAAAGGTGTAGAGGCAACAATACACGCAGTTTCATTCACAACCGAACTGTTTGACGTATCGGCTGTCATCCTGTCATCAGCCATGTTGGTTTCTCTGTCCAGTCCGTCTAGAAGATCAGTATTGTCCCACATAGCTTCATCATCAAGGAGGTCGAGACTGGCCTCATCTGTGTTTGCCTTATTTGTGGAGTCTTTGTCTACCTCGCTCTGACTGCCGTCTACAGAGTCAGGAGACATGGAAGCAGAAGACACAACATCTGGCAAGCTGGGTGGTGAAAGGCTGCTGTTATTTTCAGCATCAAAGGTGATGTTAAAAAATTGACGACTATCTGACCGAAGCTGCCGTGTTAAATCTGCCGCCTCTTCAGCACTAGTCTGCCCATTGGTTGGCTGCGTTTCAGCAACCACTTTCTGAATGTCCTCCTCCTTGCTAACATCAAATGTTTGGTTTACACCAGACGCACCATCAACCGTCTTTGATAACTGCTTAGATGGTGATTCATGCAGATTAGCCACATCAAGTGGGACTGGCTTTGGCTCTGTGGGAGATGGTCTTTCCAGTCTGGAAAATTTTGTTGGCAGACGTGACGCTCCAGGCAGACGTGATGGTTTCGGTGGTTTAAGAACCACCTGATCTGTTGGAGCAGACGTGCTCTTTATTCCCTCTGTTATATCACCAGTTGACCCCAATCTCTCACCACCACCATCCTCTACACTCTTACTTTGGGAACTGGCAAAAATACTTCTTATATCTTTCTGTGAGCCATCTTTGCCATATCTTAATTCAGGTGATGATCCACTATCTTGTTGTTTCAGCTGAGTGGATGGCAAACCAGAGACAAAGCCCACTCGTGGAATACCTGATATCTTTGCAATCTGAGTCTTTTGTTGAATCACACTCCCTTTAACCTTTGCTACTGAAGCCTCAACAGGATCCACTTCGATCTCATCCTTTACGGCTTCTACCTGTTTTCTTACGTCTGGTAAAGATCCGACTGAAAGGGGTCTGGCTGATGGTAATGCTGATTTTGGCAAAGCTGTCAATGGGCGTGGCAGTGATCGCCTCTTCAAAACATTTTCCGATACTTCAGCAGGTTTGATCTGAACCTCTACGGGTTCAATAAGCTCAACTTTATCAAAAGGGGCAAAGACACCATGACCCCTATGACAATAAAAGTAACGTCGACCTTCAACCTCACCATCATGTTTTCCATCAGGGTCATCAAGTTCAATTCCGCACCAAATCCCAGGTGCTAAATGCACTTCACCTAAGTATTTGAGTGTACCATGTTTTATACCCCCAATACAAACTCTGTCCCCGACACTAATGCTTTGTGTTACAATTACATCTTTGTCATCTCTTGAAGGGGAGGCTTCGCGATATTTTTCAACTCTTGATGGGGAGGCTGCCCGAGACGTGGCATTAACGGTGGGTAGGATGGAACTTCTAGACGGTGCGGGTAGAAAGGAACGCCTCTTCTCACGTCCAGGTTGTGGTAGTCTGCTCTCTGGATAGGAAGCCTGAAAACAGGAATGTATTTATCAACAGGAGAAACATATTTGTTCTATTCTAAAAGACTGCTTGGCGATATGATCTAGATGTTGTAATTAATGCCATGTTGTTTCTACGTAATAAAGAAAATCTTCTACTACAAGACTGACACACATTATAAAATTAAAATTGCACAGAAAAAGCATGTTTTGACAGTTCCTCCATAAAAGATTAATATTTCCCTGTATATAAGTTGCCTAGAAATAATCAAGCTTGGACCAGACAAACCAGTTACTGATAGCATGCCTCACACTCCATGTCATCAGGGTACATTAACAGTTTCACACTGGAACCATCCACTCCTCATGCTGGAGATTGAGATCTATTCTTCTATTGAATTCCCATGGAGTTATTTATATAAGAATAAATGCCAAAGTGAACGAGTTCATGGTGTAAAAGTCATTTTGTCCTGAAAATTAGCTACAGTTGAAGGATTTAAGCCTTTTTGAGCATTATACCAGCAATATCACAGTGTGGGACAATTGAAATGGCCTTCACACATTTAGTCCATGTTTGGAAATGAACACTGAACCCTGACCGATATAAAGTACGGGACATAATCCAGTCACTGAATTGATAATTTATTCATTACATTGTTCCGACACCGAACTACACATCAGCAATTTTTCAAGATATATTTTCATTATTAGAAGTAGATGCAGTCCAGTTGTCCTCCATTACTTACAACAAAACAAACTATTACATTTCTATGTGTATATAAAAACTATGTAATACAAATACCATCTAAATTTAAACTGTTTCTTTTCATTCTTAGCAATAAAATTAAAGATGCATCCACGAACAAAATCTCCTTGACAGCAGTAGACACTAACAGTTTCAGTCCACTAGTCCTTATAATGATAGCATATAGCAAAACCTTTAAAAATGTCAAAATTCTACTAGTCCTTAGGATACCTTTACTATTGGGCAGTTTGGCAAGGACTATAGGACTAGTGCCAATTTCTAACCCTGCTTGATTCTGTAGAGTCTGTAATAAATTATATTATTGACACATCCATCAACCTATCATCCCAAAGGAGCTGGATATGCAAACACATCAAACCGACCAATCAAACGGCAGTTTATATACATCATCGATCAAACAGTATCGACCATTTCCAGGGCTTTGAATAATTTTTCAGACCACTGAATCATCTAGGGTTCATGAGTAAGAAACAGGATTAGCTCAAGCTGCAGTTACAGAATGTTTCTAATCAATTATTTCTTATCTTATTAGCATGTAGTCAAGGACTTTGGTAAATTAACAACAAGTATCATTTGGTTTATAAAATAATATAACCTTCAATTATGTGAACAATTTTATTGCCAAAAAAGGAAAAGGAAAAAGTTGTAATTTGTTTTATATAGATAGGAAAGCAATGCAAGTTCCTTGGGTTATTTTAGATATGGTTGAAAACATTTTGACGGTAGTTTTACTTCAGGGAGAATTCAAATGAATTTTGTCTCTGTTAAACTTTCCTGGCCTTGGTTATTCCCAGAGGCTTTCACATGAAGGGCAGTCACAGAAGATGTGGCACTCATGTCATTATCTTAATATTAAAAGCTTGCAAAACATTACATCTCCATTCAGATAACAATAACTTCATTTGGCAATAATTGCAGATCAAAGAGAACATTGAAAACATTTTGTCCCCCGTGAATAATCAGAGAAATGTAGCTTGCCAACTCTTAATACCAGCGCACAAAGCTAAAAAACAATTTCAGCATTCAAGTTAATGGTAGTGAGAACTGGTTAAAGTTACTTCTGATGAATAACAATATCTGAATGTCATCCATCAAGCAGTCACTAGACAGACAGACAGACACAGACAGGAAAGATAAGATAGATAATATAGATATATAGGAATGGACAGACAGGCAGCAAGGACAGACAGACACAGACAGGATAGATATACAGGAATGGACAGACAGACAGGAAGGACACACAGACACAGACAGGATAGATAATATAGATATATAGGAATGGACAGACAGGCAGCAAGGACAGACAGACACAGACAGGATAGATATACAGGAATGGACAGACAGACAGGAAGGACACACAGACACAGACAGGATAGATAAGATAATTAACACAGGAATGGACAGACAGACTGACAGCATGGACAGACACACACAGACAGGATAGATATACAGGAATGGACAGACAGGAAGGACACAGACACAGACAGGATAGATAAGATATATATATATATAGGAATGGACAGACAGGATAGATAAGATATATATATATAGGAATGGACAGACAGGAAGGAAGGACAGACACAGAAAGGATAGATATACAGGGATGGACAGACAGACAGCAAGGACAGACAGACACACTGGAAGGAAGGACACACAGTGAGTGAGTAGGTTTTACGCCACTTTTAGCAATATTCCAGCAATATCACGGCTGGGGACACCAGAAATGGGCTTCACACATTGTACCCATGTCGGGAAATGAACATGGGTCTTCGGCGTCACGAGCAAACGCTTTAACCACTAGGCTACCTGACCGCCCCGAAGGACACACAGACACAGACAGGATAGATATGTAGGAATGGACAGACAGGAAGGACAGACAGACAGACAAGGTAGTTACATAAAAGCTGCCCAGCAGATAAGTATGTTTGGTGTGACATTTTATAGTATCTCAAACACATTGCTTGCTAACCACTTGGCTAACTGGCCCCAATGACATCAAAATCCAACACTTTAATTACCACATACATGTACTTCATTGACATATTACAATCAATAAGAATATGATAAATAATTAACACTTATAATTTTGCCGATTCATCTAAAGTCACCCAATCACAAGACACAACAACCAGCTGGTTCATGTTGACAAGTATTCCAATCTTATTGACTGATAGCAGCGAGATAAGTTTACAACTATAACCCTGACTCAGCTCCATGTAACACTTGCTCTGGTTCAAACCACTCATGATTCACATAACAAACTGACCTGACATTTTAAAATACACATCTAAAATTCCTACATTTCATCAGGTTGAATCGGGGATTGGGAACTGAGTTGAGCAGATTCTAGCAACTAACTTGGAACATTAAGTTGAGAGGTTCTTAGAAAACTGGAAATTTATTATTTTATTTGTTTGTTGTTTAACATTGCACTCAGCAAAATATGACCTCAGCCCTATTCCACATAACAATCAGAGCGTTAAGATGATCGTAACTCCCATACTTTAACATAGACTTACGACTTAAGACTGTTTTGTGGAATAGGGCTCAGGCCATATGATGGAGGGGGCCTGACAACAATTGTTTCTGGACCATATAATCTAGTGATTGATATTATGCGCAATGATCCACACCATCAGGGTACAATGACATACATCCAATCAAGCCACTGAGCCTGATCACCCATTCAATTAAATCGCCTCTTACGACAAGCATCAGTTTCAGGGGAACAATTTTAACCTATAATCCATGGGGGAATGGCTAAAGACTAGTCTGAATACAATTCAGATCACACATTAAGTCTATGCTTCATGTAAACATACACAAATGGACATGAAATTAGCATCACCAAAAAAAATGTCCAATTTGCACTCATCAAGGGAAATAACTCTGCTTGGCAAATTTCCTAATTCCTTCACCACATGCCAATTTCTTTCTTATGCCCTTCTGTCATGTAAAAAAGTCTTTACCAAGGACAATCTTCTTCCCTACATCAAGAGCAACTGTTTCAGTAGATCTCTGCAATAACACATATATATATAAAGAGACGTGCCAACAAATATTTCCCCAAAGACTAATCTTCATCAGTCTTCAGTGCCTCAGTGTATAAATATCGTATTCCATAGCTTTAACAGTCTGTGTGTGGTACAATACAAGGTGGTTTCAATTCTAGGCTAATCACTATGTATCACATATATGTATCTCTTGCCAAAAAACATCACTGCTGTGGTATTTAGTTACATCTTTCGTCAGACTGTTTATCTATGTCTACCATGTAACATGCTGCTATCCCATGTATAGTTATCAGGGTTTCCATCATACTGTATGGACGAGGCACATGCTGATGCAGTGTTCGAAATTAAGCATGAAACTAAAAAGATCCTTTTCACAGTGCCAAGTTAAAAATTAAAGTTTTAGGGAGTCCCTAGATTGAAATACGAAAGGAACAAACCTCAACGACCCCACAACCCATAAATTTCAAACACTGTAACAGTGTTTATACCCTGTCAAAGGGAGTTTAGTGAGTGAGTGAATGGTGTTTTAAGCAACATTTAGCAATACTGAGGTAGTGAATGGGTTTTGTTTATTCGTATTGAGTATTTCAGTCATATCACGGGGATGCAGCTTGATGTGGAATGAAAGGTTGTGTTATGTTGATGAAAAACCAAGAAACGTAACTGGGGGAATCTTGGATTTGAACATTAAATCATCATTCGGTTTGGGTCAGGTCAGTGAATTCAACATTGAATTCAAGATCATTGCTTGCTTGTTTGTTTGTTTGTTTGTTTTTTAACGCTGCACTCAGCAATATTCCAGCTATGTGACGGCAGTCTGTAAATAATTGAGTCTAGACCAGACAATCCAGTGACTGACATCATGAACATCGATCCATGCAATTGGGATACAATGACAAGCATCAACGAAGTCAGCGAGTCTGACCACCCAATCACGGTTAGTCGCCTCTTACAATAAATGAGTGAGTGAGTGAGTTGGGTTTAACGCCGCTTTAACAGTATTCCAGTTATATCGCAGCGTGTCAGCTTAATGAGGGAGGAAAGCCCGAAGTGATGCAGGTCTCAGACGTTTACCACTTCGGTGAAACCCATGAGCACGGGTATGGTGCTGACAAACCTAGAAACATAATCGGGGCGAACCGGGATTCGAACCCACAATCATAGGTTTCTGGCGTGCCCAAGGGACGCAACTCTGCACAGCGAATCGCGGCGCCTTAGACGACTTGGCCACCCGTGCCCCCTCTTACAATAAGCCTATGACACATTAACAACTATGATAAACATAGTGACCATCCAATCCTCATTTTAGTCTTTGAGGCTGTGAAAAAAGCGTTCAACAAAAGATGGTGACCTACACTGCCCAAGAATCCTATGGGGATTCTGTTAAGTTTGCCAGGTATTATGAAGGTCACAGGTCTGCAACTTTAGCCACTAGCCTGAAGCCTGTGTTTAGCAAAATTTGGTTAAGTCTAGTAAGATCAGCTAATAAAAAGTTCTACAGAAAACGATGATAAGAGCCAAGTTTGGGCTAGTAGTCCAGACACAGACTGGGTCAGGAAGGTATTATTAGTAATATCCTCTAGATTCTACCATTAAAAGCAATGAGTTACTTCATTTTTATCAAGGTGTCAGCTTCATGTGGAAGTAAAGCTGATGTGGTGCAGCTCTGTGACATTGGTGAAACCCAAGAGCACAGGTATGGTGCTAGCAAACCAAGAATCATAATCAGGGTGAACATGGGATTCAAACAAAAAATCATAGGATTCTGGCAGAGTGAATTTCAGTGCCTGTGATAAAAGCAGGATAACGTGAATTTAAAAGAGCAAATGAGTATCTATTGAAACATTGTGTCACATCCTTTGTTGGAGTGAATGTTGTTTAATACGTCTCGTAGAGGTGAGGTGAAATGGGGTTTTACGTCACATTCAAGATTATTGCACTTATGTAGCGATGTGCATGCACATGTGTGTTTGGTGGCTGCTTGTACTCGTCTGGACTAATGCTGATTTTATAGTGCTTGCCCACTGAGATTCCATGCCGTAATTTACCATGAATACCCAACTCAGACACAGTATACTGACTCCGAGCCAACCAGTGCTTGTTTTAGCCCCTTAATGCCAAGCGCCAGACAGGGTTACAAAAAGTACCAACTATTAAGATGTTTTGGTATGGCGCGACCGGGGAACAAACCCCTGACCTTCCACTCTCAGAGCAAATGCTCTACCACAAGACCACAGAGGCAGTCTTACTTCTTTTAGAAACAGCTTAGCAATATCATGGCCTTATAGAAACTGAACCCATGTAACAACTACATATTGGTTATTGATATGAAGAGAAAAACTTCTGTCACTTGGCCACCAAGTTATTTCCATTGATACACACACAATCTGCTAGGCTAATTACCATGTCCTAAATCTTACACGAGAGAAGCTTCAAGATCCATTGTACCATAGGAGCATATGTCTCATAGGTTTTCTAATTTGTGAATAAATGAAGAAATGCACAGATTCATTTGAAAAGTTTCTTTACAAGGATAAGAATAATCCATTCATGCCAAGCACCTGTTCCAACAAAACTCTTGCCTTGATATATTAGAAACATGGGGTCAATATTTTAATAACTGTCAATAAAGTACACAAAATTAAGTCCCTTTCTCTGTTAAATTTAGAACTGGATAGCCTTTACCTACAGTATCTTCAGACTGCAGAATAAACACTGGCTTACAAAGACAATACCCTGGAAAGTGCAATTTATGACAGGAATGCATACAATGCACTTGGTGCACCCACACAACCTGCACCTAGTGGCACCCACCCTCACAAGGCAACCAACCGCAGTATAATGTATGTATACCATACTCTTAGTGCAGTCAACATTCAACAAGATATTAAACGGGTTGATAAAAAGCTGTATATCATACGATACTGTGATGTCACAGAGCAAACACAGACACGATCTCGTAATGATTTCAATTGCACTGTTTTGACTTTATATACACATCAACTTATTTGCTTAGCAATGTAAGATTGTACCATAAACTAGGGCTTCACAACTACACATAATAGCCTTTAACACTTTTATTTGGTTTTTGACAAATACATATCTTTATAGATGACATATTCTACTACTATCTGGTATTATGATACTCTCATCATGCTAACTGTTGACCATTTTAATTTCTGTGGGTTTAGGATTTTAAAATACAATAAACAGATAAAATATTGTTGTTACAAAATCACTGCAAAATATGCTTTTACTCGCTAGTTTTTAATTATCTGGCGCAATTTATTCTTTATTCTTTGTTATGTATGAAAATATTATAAATGTTTCCTTTTCTCATGACTGACAAGTAAAGAGTATGTGTTAGAAAAATAAAGAAAATAATTTGTCATTGACAATAATAAAACTCTTATGAAAGCAATACATGTCAGTATTAACCCCGAAAGTGATAACAAGAATGTACCAGAACACATAACAAACTCCATCTTTGTCACTATCAATGTTTTAACCACTTCATCTGTGTCCCCCAATCTTTTGACCCAATCAGTTCAGTCCCTCACAACTGACTCGTCTAAATGTTAATACATATGGGGTTAACATCTGCCATGTTCATTCCTATCCCACTTTATTGATTTTTTTTCATGACAACCGCACTGGTTAAACCCTCTGAGAAACAGGAACAGAGAAATATGAATTAATTATCACCGACCTGAAACATCGGGAAACAAAACAAGACATGATGGACGTACATCCTCTGACCACAACAGAGATTCTCCAGTGTTATGCCATGGTGAACAGAGTTTCTGTAGTGTTATGCTTTGGTGAGCAGGAGGCGAGTTGAAATGGGGTTTAACATCACAGTCAAGATTATTGCAATTATACAGTGACGTACATGCACGTGTGTGTTGCATGGGTGTTGTGTGATTGCGTGAATGAGTGAGTGTGTGAGTGAGTGTGTGAGTGTGTGAGTGTGTGAGTGTGTGTGGCTGCTTGTGCCTGCCTGGACCAATGCCGTTTTTTTAGTGCCAGCCCACTGAGATACCATGCCGCAGTTTAACATCTCACTCAGACACAGTATACTGACTGCCGAACAGTCCTTGTTTTATCCCCCTATTGCCAAGTGCCAGGCAGGGTAACAACAAGGACCATATTTTAACGTCTTGGGGCTGGGGATTTAAAAAACAACTTTCTATTTCCCTGGCAGATGCTCAACCACTAGATCACTAGACCACAGAGGCCGTCATGGCTAACATGGCCGGCCCGTCAGTGATGAAGACTTAGCTATACAAGCGTTCGAGACAAACGAATGACAAATGGTGAAGGAATTCAACAACAATAAGCACATATATTCAAATACCATGAAAGCATAACAATCAGTTGGATATATCTTATCTTATTTAGATGGACAATAACTCTCTATATATATACCACACTAGGAGATAACAACTGATATCAACAACCCTTCTATACTAGTTAATAAGACTGACTGTTTATGGATAACAATTTCTCTATTGTTTGTAACGTTTCAGGACTTCTTGCTCCTTCCATCAGGTCATATGACAGCGGCCTTTTTATAATCAAGTCTGGACTAGACAATCCATTGATTGATATTGTGAGCAATAATCTGTTCAGGGTACCATGACACGCAATCAACCAAGCCTGACCACCCTGATTCATTTGGTAGCCTCTTATGACCAGCATAGGTTGCTGGGTATCTATATTGATGATGAATAATAATTAATTACTTTCTATCCCACCTCTTTAGTTATAAACATTCTATGGATGATATAACAAGGCAGATGTAGCCAATAATCAGCCATTATAAACCCAATCCTTATTCCTACATGTGGTACCTAGTGTATAACTCAAGTATATAACCAATTATAACTCAATTTACAGGTGACTGTAATAACCAAAACATACTCTATATGTTTGAATGTAAAAATATACTATACATATTTATATCAATTATTGTCATTCTTACAAACTGGTTCGTTGAGTTAAATCTTGTTTCAGATACAGTGAGTTTCAAATGACACGGACATCATTGTATAATTTAACATTTTATCGTCGCAGGTGTCACACCATGGGGGAGGGGGGTGGTGACGAATACAAACAGGTACAGGAGTTTCAACATAGGATAGGTCTCTCAAGGATGTCTCATTATCACAGACACACACACCTTATCAAACAACAATTTTATTTTCCTAAACACACATGGGTGCAAAGTCACCCTTGTGTAGACGAGACTGATAAGTTTAGCATCCACAAGTACACAACCTGACAATTGAGACATAAATGATATGGATGAAAACACACATGGTCCATATTCACCTCACTGAACCTGCTGTGCCTGATCAAACTACTTCATAAAAACACACTGTCACTTTCAAACGACAGTACGCAACAGAATGTGTTGAAAAACTCTCAAAAATGCTAATCATACATGGCCCATAGGTATTCATATTGCCCCTTCCTTCTCTTATTAATATGATTTATTATTCATGACTGTCAAGCAGATCAAACTTTCACCTGACCCTAAAGATAAAGTCATTCTGATGTCTATTAATATTTTCATATGTTACAGACAAACTAAAGATACCATGTTCTGACGATAACGGTCCGCCTCGTCCCAGGATCTAGTTAGTACCAGAATTGATTAAACCTATTATACAAGCGGAAATGGTACATACACACATCCATCCATCACATAAATACAGTTCCATTACACTGAAACTAATCTTTGAATAAGCATACCTAATTCAATCTAATCTATTCTAATCTACCATAACACTCGGCTCCAGATTATGGCTATCAGTAACAAAGTGAATCTGTTGACCTAAAAACCTAAAACAGTAAACACTCAATGGTTATTCCAGCGCCATCCTTACCATAGTGTGCTTGTATCACATTCAGTCAACAACAATGTGGCACAGTGAGATCCATCCCTTGTGAGAGACAACCTGTTACTACACAGTGATAATCCCAGCGTGTGTTACGGCAGTTAGTCCACAGTCAACTGATGTATGCTATACGTCCCAGTGTCATCAAGCCAGGGCTGATGCAGCATATCATTACTCTAAGAAGGTAAAATCAGGTCACCAATGACATCACAGGTCACAATCAGCTTCCAATCAATTTCTCGATGTCTGTAAGATAACTATTTGAATTAAATTCTCACTCCAAGACACAAACGAAGCATCGGTTGTCAGATGTACGGTGTTCTGTCCCTGTAACTACGTGTGATAATGTTCTGTAGTTGTCAATATGTGCATACAGCACCAACCTCAGAAATCAATAACGAATAATTTATCATAGGAAATCACTTAGCGTATAGTGCAATGGCAACGTATGTTGCAAGAGAGGACTATGAAATCAACATCTGTCCAGTGTATACATTATCCAAACACATTTATTTACACTGTTAAACATGGTTTTGATACTAATCCCACCATGTCAAGACAGTGATGATAGACTCATTATATATTAACCAAGAAAGCGTGGGATACGGACAACAATCCTTCTGCCCATCATACTCGTTGCCTAGCAACCAATCAATTCCTGGTCTTCAGATATGGATTGCAGCTTTAAGTGATTGGAAAGTGAACAATTTACGCATCATTTGAATTGCTGAACATATAAGGAAATCAGTTCTCTAAAGAGTGATCTAAGTGTGTCATCGGGTGCTGTAGGGGCTGAGTGTAGGTCAACCTTTGACACGTTGTGATACAAGATAATGTGAAGGGTATGGCACAGGCATGGCAATCAGTGTGTGAATCTAACCAAGGTGATCGTTAACAATCAATCCAGGTATTCAAGCTTGAAACAGGAAATGTCGACAAATTTGTCGACTGAAAAATGATTGGTAATGTGTGAGTTAGTCCTTTTGTAAATGGCTGTTTATGGGAGTTTATGGCTGTTTACAATGATTGTATGCTTGTACAAACATCTTATAGCCAGATTATAGTCAACAGATTCAAAGGGTTTACACAGATAGAAATACTGTCCAGATGGTAAACCTGCACAGGTGAAATACTTTCTCATGGCTTACAAATATAAACTAAAGTATATAATATAGAATAGTAACCTATTGTAGGACATTTTCATACTTTTTATGTTCATATTACTATCTGACAAATGTATCAGACAATTACTGGTCGCTACCAATATTTCTTTTTCTATAAAATAAACTATCAATTTATTGCTGCTTCATAATTTCTCTACTGAAACAATATTGCTCAAAAATTTCTATTCAGGCTTCATATGAAATGAGTAATATGACAAATATAATGAAAACAAAATAAAAATTGAAACAGTTAAATATAAAATCAGAGTATTTTCTCTTTTTATCCAGTCAATGTTATTGTATTACAAACTCATAATTAAGTTTCAAGTTAGGAGTAATTCCTGTTTTCTATGAAATTAGATATCGAATAAATATCTGCATGACATGAAAAAATTCAGAGTTTTATCAGAATTATAAATTGCGTATCTGAAGAGAATGTATACTTTCACTGAAATATACTCAAGCTTGTCTATCAACCTGTGACAGCTGGTTGCACTCTTCGCAGGCGAGACTAGTTCTTTCAACATTTTCGTTAAACTGACAAAGAAAGAAACACTATGTCAACAGAAGGCTGCATGGTATGTAAGACATCTTGTCCAATATTGCTTGATGAATTTGAAAAAAACTACAGATTACATTTGAATTCTATTATGGCACCTCAAACCCCTTAATTTTTTAGAAGATTTGAAACAATTCACTTCATTTATCATCACAGCAGTGCTTGAATTAATAAGGATTCTAAATTCTTGGTACAAATGAGTGATGCTCAGAGTGGCATACTTGATTTATTCGTCTAAAAAAGAAAAGGAAACAAGTAGTTCTTTGTTTGTTTGTTTGTTCATTGTTTGACGCCACACTCAGCAATATTACAGCTATATGACAGCAATCTGTAAATAATCGAGTCTGGACCAGAAAATCCAGTGATTGACGTCATGAGCATCGATCCACACAATTTGGATACAATGACATGCATCATCAACAAAGTCAGCGAGCCTGACCACCCGATCCGATTAGTTGCCTCTTACGACAAGCATAGTCGCCTAAGTACTTCTAATCAACAAATTTTTTTTGAAACAGCCTGTACAGAGCGATATATGTTTTACATTAAAGCCAATCGTTTTGTATACTTTTTTTTAACATTTGTTTAAAGGTAACATCGTCCGGCACTTCCTTCATTTTGACTGGGCGGTCAAACTACGCTCAAGGTTCAACTGACACTAACATTACTTATTCTGGCTGGTTTGTCAGATTTTGATGGACAGAAGTATCAAATCGTCATGAATAAATTGATTTTAATAACATCGAGGAAATCATTTTGAAACTGCAGTCAGACATATTCCTGTGTTATATAGCGGCCTATGAATATTTGAATCTCGATCAGTGGTAGATTGCAAGTGTTCCCTGTTGGCAGAGGGATAACAGACATTAGGCACATAAGTTGTCACGACCCTTCATCTTACAACCAACATTCAGACCCTGCATTGCCACTGACGTTATTGTTATGACATGCCTTCCAAATGTTACCTCAATATATAGAGAAACAAAACAGCCTCTCAAGGCTCAAAAATGCTCATGGTGAAATGGGGTTTAACATATCTTTCAAGCTTATTGCATTAATATAGCGATGTACATGCACTGTGCATACTACTTGTGGCTGCTTGTACAAGTCCGGACTAATGCTGATTTTATAGTGCTAACCCCCTGAGATACCATCCCGCAGTTTAACATGGCTACCCCACTCAGACTCTGTATACTGACTCTGAGCCGACCAGTCTTTGTTTTATCCCCTTAATGCCGAGTGCCAGACAGGGTAAAAACAAGTACCATTTTATAACGCCTTGTGGTTTGACACGTCTGGGGATCGAACCATCGACCTTACACTCTCCTCAAATATTCTCATACTTATTGTGACTTTTCTTTATTCGGGAAATAATTTTACAGTCAAATTATGGCTGGACTGGGTCTCCCAGAAAAGTTTCACAAGTTGTTCTCGTGATGGAATCAAACCAGAGTTTTTCAATCAAGTCACAAGCGAGCACTTTTATTACTAGTTTCTTTACCTCATAAACTATGATTGACGATGCCTATTTCATTGCCACAGGCTCCTACAATAGAAGTTCGATCAGAACGCATATTTGCATGTTTGTAAAAATGAATAATAAAAAAAACATCGCCTTGAGCTATGGAGTTTCATGTCAAGTTATGCTTTAAAGCATCAACATTGCTTGAACCTACATAAAGTAGCATTCCTTTTATTCTATTGGAAGGACTCCCAAGCAACACCCGTATATTCATGCTATGGCACAATACATCAGAAATAAAAAAAACAATATGAAAAAAAAGCCAAGTGAAAGAAAACCTAGGGGAAAATACATTTTTGTTTTGTTTTGTGCATAACCAATATTTTGTTGGGATTCTGGGTTAGATTGGGTCAACAACAACTTATGCTTGTTGTTAGAAGCAATTTAATGGATCTGCATTGGTGATTTGGTTGATTGTGAGTCATTGAGATGTTGCTCATTATTTAACAATGACTGGTTTGTCTGGCCCACACTCGATTATTTACAGGCGACTACCTAATAGCTGGAACTTAGCTGAGTGCAGTGACCAACAGCAAATGAGAATTTATTTGAAACCCTTAGATAATCATCACATCTGTAAGTTATCAAAACATCCACCTCCGAGGTCTTCAGCAACCCATGCTTGCAATAAAAGGCGACTATGCTTGTCGGATCAGGTGGTCAGGCTCGCTGGCTTGATTGATGCATGTCATCGTATCCCAATTGCATGGATCGATGCTCATGATGTCAATCACTGGATTGTCTGGTCCAGATAATTATTTACAGACCCCTGTCATATAACTGAAATATTGCTGAATGCAGCATTAAACAACAAACAAACAAACAAATTTACCGACTGCTGCCACATAGCTGGAACATAGTTTAGTGCAATGATAAACAGCAATAAGAATTTATTTGAGGCCCTTAAATTTTGATCACATCAGTAACTTATCAAATGTTAAATTGAAAAAAAAAGATATCATAAAGCCTACACATCCATCTACAAATATTTCTTAAGGTTATGCTACCTGACACAGGTAGATTTGGGTGGGGTCTACACTAATTGATTAACTCCCTTGTGTCATTCCAAGCTTCGATAGAATTAAGGAACAAATTGTGTACAGCAGAGACTGTTTGCTGCTCAATTACACAGCTGTGTCGCAAATTAAGGGATCAGTTGGCAATGGCAAGGGGCCAATACAAATCTGTAAGTGTCAAGCGTGGGCTGAGCACATCTTCATTACCTGAAAACTGGGTGTTAACCTTTAAAGTCTAACTTATATTGTCTGGGCTGTTACAGGAGGCTGTTGATGAACGCATGGCTGAGTGAGAATGGGCTGTTGACAGGTGTTATCTGGGACATCGTAATGTAAATGTCTCCAGTTATCTATACCCTGTCTCTTTCATGTACTGTTTCAATGCTGTGTCAGCTTTATGTACAGGGGCGCTGTAATGATACAATTTGCCGTATATGATCCAGTGAGATTGAGATACTATACACAGTAGGAAAATAATTATGGCCTCCTATTCCATCATCGGACTGAATGACTCGGTGCAGACGGCCAAAACATTTTTGGTAAAATGGAGTTGGGTGGTGGTGGTTTGTAGTTTCACGCCACACTCAGCAATATCCCAGCTATATGATGGAGATCTGTAAATAATTTAGTCTGGACCAGACAATCCAGTGATTAATATAATGATCATCGATCCACACAATTGGGTTTTATGACATTTAGCAATATTCCAGCAATATTATTGTGGGAACATCAGTAAGCCACTGTAAAGGGTTTCACAGATTCTGGGCTATCGAGTGAGTGAGTATGGTTTTACGCCGCTTTTAGCAATATTCCAGCAATATAACGATTGGGGACACCAAAAACAGGCAACACACATTGTACCCATGTTGGGAATCGAACCCAAGCCATCGGCATGAGGAGCGTAAGCATTACACACTGAATAATTAAATGGAAACGATTAACAATGGTTTGATTATTTTCTTTAAATCATCCAAAATTATTCATTTGCAAAGCACAATGTTCACACCATAAGTATGTATTGTGTACAGACAAATATGTTACTCATATCTTGGCACAAAGTTTTAAAAATCTATAACAGTGGGGTCAACTTTATTACCGAA